TTTGTTATATTTATTATTTTATATCTAGTTACATTAACTTTGAACCAAAACTATTATATATTTATTAAAATTATATAAGGGTTCTCACGGCCAAAGTATATAGCTAACATAGTGCGTGAAATTAAAAACACCCAAGGAATTATACGTAACACTTACTTTATAAAAAATTATTTTATTCAAAAAATAAAATAAAAAATACTTCTCCATTAAAATCTGAATTTAGGATTTCTCACTGACTTAATAATGTACCTAAACCAGTTACTGTCAAATAATTTCGAGTTAGATAAAGTTAAATTTTTGCTTGACAGATATCCTTCCCTTCAAGGATGATGGATTTTCTGCAACCAAGGAGTTCCTGGAACGAATTGTCGATATCTTACTGGACTATATACGGGCAGAGAACGACAGAAATGAAAAGCTCCTTGAGTTTCATCATCCGGAAGAAATGAAGAAAATTCTAGACTTGAAAGTTCCTGAAAAGGGATTAACCCTGCAGCAACTAGTTCATGATTGCGCTACTTCTTTAAAGTACCAAGTAAAGACAGGTATGTAAACAAATGTACAGTTTAATTTTAACAACAGTAAATTCCACATTAAATGGCAAAAGAAATCCGGGTATGAATGTAAAATTAACGAACAATGGCCTAATTACTTTTCATTAATTATGCGTTCTAGGGTCTATTGTATAGTACTCAAATCAATTTCATAAGATTAATTCAATCTAAAGATCGTAAAAAATGTATTTACTAATTACACTTTTGATTAAAATTCATCCCATTAAAAAATAATAGATTTTTTGCGATTGGATTTCATTTTCAACCCTTCGAAAATATATTTCTTTTATTTTGTTAAATGTGCGATTCAGGTACTGTTTACCGTTTTTCATGTAGAATTTAATCCATTTGGTCATTTTTGAAAATGTGAGGCCTGACAATCATGCTTATGGAGTATCAATCATGCTTATGGAGTATCAACCTCGAGGGTTACCTTCACCCCCTAAATATGTTTTCCACAAAAAAATACGTATCTAATCGTTTTTTACGTGGATTTATATATTACAACTATTACTAATTTGGCGACGGTTACCTCGGAAGCTTTCGTTGTTAGTTTAGAATCTCATGGTCCCTGGTCTTAAGATTGCGCTGTGACAAACCCCGTTTGTTCATTCATTTCTGCATTTCTATTTTTACAATTATACAGCGAGACACATGATTGACAGTCAACATTTTCGTTGTTTTCAATTTCACGTCTGCGAAGGCTCATGAGATTTTGAATTAGCTGTACCAGTTACTTTTACCACATCATTTTTTAATTATTCTGTATTAATTGAAATAAAACAATTTAAGAATCTTGGATAAACAGAATGAATTTTTTTATAGTAAAGATCTACTAAGCAGAAAATGTAACATATGAACGAGAAAGAGGGTTCAAAAGATTTCTGTAACCAATCTGCTTTCATCTCGAGCGATTGCTCGTAATAATTGAATGTCTGTAATCTTGAAACAAAAGAATTACTTGCGGACAATGCACACCCTCGGTGACGCCGGTTGGACACGTGGCCTATTGAATAACACTTTATTCCATGTGACTTGTGCCTTCGGAAATAGGATTTTTATTGAGACATAAACATGGACCACGAAGCGATTTTCTTTTATTTATTCAATTCGAAATTCAAAAATAATGCAAACATAGTGGAGATCATCATCATCATCATAAGGTCGTCAGTTCTAAAACTGGACCTAACCTAACCTCCACTCTTTCCTATTCTGAGCTAATCCTTGCATTTCCCTAAAACTAGGACATCCCACATCCTTAAATATTTCTCAACAGTAAAATAATTTTGATCTACCTCCACTTCATGCCTGAAATTGTATCCTACCAACCTATCTCTCCTATTTCTTATTAACTTCCATACTCCTCTCTAACACCTCTTCATTTCTAACCTTCCCTGTTCACAGAATCCTCATCAATCGCCTTTAACACCACATTTCGAACGCTTCTAACCTTTTCTTTTCCGCCGCGCCCACCGTCCATGTTTCGCACCCGTACAGCACCGCGCTCCAGATATACCTTTAACAATCTTTTTCGCATTTCTAAATTAACCATTCGCGAAAATATAAGTGACTTCTTTTGTCATTCCATCCTTTTTTATCTCTATGCTCCTTTCATCATAACTTATCTGACTTCCAGATACCAAAAATCAATCACTTCTTCTAATTCTTCGCCTCCTGTCTTTATATTCACTTTTTCCCTATCTCTTTTTCCCTTGCATACCAGTATTTTTGTTTTACAATACTGTTTTATCAATACCGCTACCGTTTTATTTAAGACTATAGCTAACGTCTCCTTACTGGATGCTAATACTGCTGTAATAAATAGTAAAGTGCAGGAAGGACTCGCGGACCGAGGATTCCGTACAAACTTTTTTCAAATCAGTCCCCAAAATGCATAATTACAATACTACAATTAAAAAATACTTTTTTTGTGAAGTGACTACAAATTTAAGCTATTAGGATTTTTCCCTTTACTTACTACATCACATTATATACTGTACATGTGTGTAGAAAGAACTGTTATCTAGAAAAGATCCGACTTCAAAGTATTCCTGTACATTTACTCATGTGGACTTGTGGACGCGAAGTGGACTATGTTTCTCTGTCCGTCTGATTACTCTTCAAATCAATTTTTCTAGTTCTTGAATGAAACGAAAAAAGTTTTTGAAAAATCGATTTCCTTGAGACTCCACGATATATGTATGTCCTCGAAGAACCAAAGATGTTTTCTTTCATGGAAACTGCTTGTACTACGTGAACGAATGTTTTTCATCGAGTCGCGTCGTCGCTCAATCTTAACACGAGCTTTCACTTAAAACACTTGGAATTGGCGTAGATGTAAGTACGTTTTCAGTATAAATACGAGCTAGAAGAGGGAACGTCGATCTTTCTGATCCTCGGGATAGACGGGTGAGTGGCAGGAATTCTGATGGTATAGAGTCGTACTGTTCGTGCTATCTCCCTTCGGCTAATGGAGGTAAATACAGCCGGTCCGAAGTGGCGTTAATCTGTCTCTAAACGCGCCAGGACTTGTGTCCAGCGACACGGAAAATAACATCGGACTGCGTTTACATACATGTTGTGTAGCGTGTACTTAGTACTGTATGCCATACTGTATAAACTTTGCGAAATAGTAGACTGCATTTTTGTTTAGATAGCTCTATTCAAGTATCAATTGAAAAAATGCTTCGAAAATCCTTTTAAAGGATTTCAGTTACATTTCGCATGGAATTACCTATTTTCCAATTTCTTTTTCCTATTTTTAACTTTTACGTCTCCGTTTTGTAGGTACTTTAATATCCGTAATTATCCTAAATAATTAAACAATCACACCAATTTATGGTTAAATTGACCAACATGTCATATTTTCTAGTTATAGACAACTCAAAAATAGATATGTATATCAAAATTTTAATGGGACAGCAAAGAAATATAAGGATTTAAAAATACGTCTTTTGAAATTTTGGGCGTTATATTTTTAAAATTTTTTCTGAAACTTCATTTCAAAACATATTCACAAATTATGAAACAAAAGTGCGTTTGTGATGAACTTGACAAACGGCTGCATATTTTGAAGGCCTTCAGAATTAGGATGTACGGTATTTTTGGTCTGCTTATATAAAATTAAGTTAAATTTGTTAATAATTATGATCAAAAACACCAATAATAAAAACCCCCCTTATTTTCAGGACGTATACACCTCAAATGAAAAGAATTTTTCCGCTTTGAATTAAACCTGGCCCCTTATTGGAGTTCTTTTATAATAGTAAATTATCATTTAAAAATTGTTGTAGTTTTTGAAATTAGAAAGGAATTTTTCCTGGATTATTGAGTTTCGCTTATTTCTTATTAACTTCCATAACGCCCTCTCTTATCTCTTACCCTTTCTAATCCTTTCTCACTTCTAACCTATTCTTTTTTGCAGCGCGTACCCTCCATGTTTCACACCCCTACAGAGCTGAGCTTCAAATATACGTTTTTAATAATCTTTTTCCTATTTCCAAAGCCGATCGCGAGTACAAAATTGATTTCTTTTTTTTCTAGTGCTTTCTCCATGCTGGGCTACTACTTCCCTAGATAACGAAATTCTTAAAATCATTGCATTTAACGATGCCTTGATATGGCATGGAATTCAAACTTGCGAATATTGAAGTGATTTTTTTAATAACTCGAAAGGTTTTGATAAAAACGTTTATACGTAGAACAATGAAGCGCAGACAATTAATTTGATTAATTACATTTTTTGTTTTTGCAACTTTTGAACCCGGAAGTCCGACGTACAACGTCACTCTGAATATAACGTACTAATGGCATTAAAAGTTAAAGCAATTAATCAAGGTGCGTGTCAAATGCCACGTCGTCGGTGAACGGGGCAAACTAGCACATTTTACGACTGTACCCATTCAGTTCTTCCGTACAAACAAGAAGAGCGAGTGGATGCTTGATACTTGCGGCACTCTCCCTTCGCAGAGGCAGAGAATGCTGTAATTAAGGGCACTCAAAGCTCCCTCTCGATCAGACCCCACAGTCACGATCCCACGCCGGATTAAAAACTACCCCTGCATGTTCGGCACTACAAGAATTTGTTATATTGGTATTTAGGCACTTTACGACAGATTTTTCAGAAATACAGGACTACTTAATGGAATTTCTCTTTAATATATCCTGCCTGTTCGGAAATTAAAAGGGCTTTCGATGTTTCTTTTTTACTTTCGAAATGTATGCTAATATTATGAAATAAATACAATAAAATAAGTGTCCTATAAGAAAAATGGACAATATTCATTAAAAAATTTAGCATTACAATTAGTAATCAGTTTACGTTCTTCGTGGAACTTAGATTTTTAGAAAGTATGACTTCTTTTAATTAAACTATAGCTAAAAAATCACCTCTTTAGTTAAAAAATTTTAGACAACGTGATTTTGACATTTGGAGCTGCGAATTTGACAATCTAACCCATCGCTTTTGTTACACAAGCGTATTTTCCAGTTTTTTTTAGGGTTCCTTATCTCAAAAGGAAAATAGAAACCTTTATTGAATCACTCATTGTCCGTCTACAGGTCTGTCAAGACCCTTTTCCTCAGGAATGCATGTAGGTATCAATTTAAGATTTATATCAAATGTTTGGGTCTGCAATCAATTGGGGATCTTAAAAAATCAAACTTCTAACGCAATCAGAAGATACAGCCGTTTATGCCGCATATTTTGACGTTCGTAAGCAAACCAAGGCCTATAAGGTCCTTCTCGTTGGCATAAAATTTTAACATTTGACAAGAAAAGTAATGTATTATAGCACAAGTAAAGAGAAAAACCCAAAAACCGTAGATTTGTAGTTACATCGTCAAAACAATATTTTTTAACGTAATATTGTATTGTATGCCTCTATCAAGAATTTTGGCAGAGAGAAAAGTTGGAAGACCTATGGTTAAACCTACACCACTGACGAAAATTGAGCCCGTTAGATCACTTTAAAAAGTAGGAGTTATATCAT